TGAAGTTCAGAACTTCAGAGGTTTAGAGTCCAGACTCCAGACTCACTTCAGAGTTCAAAAGAACTTCAGGTTCATATTTCAATGTTCACGGGCCTCGGACCACGGTTCAGACGTCAGAAGTTCAGAGAGACTGATGAGTGGATCACCGTGAGAAAGTGTTTTTTATATATATCATTTTTTTTTTAAAAACAAAAAACAAAAATGTGATCGACTCAAAACACAATGTAACGGTGAACTCAGTTTTATTTCCTCGATTGTTGAATAAACTTCTACCTTAGCAGAATGAACTTCTTGGATGAACTAAACCACGTATTTATACTATCTCCGAAGGATTTTCTTGAGAATCCGGCCGCCAATCAAATCGTGTATCTACTCAATTTCGAGCCTACAAGTCCATTCAACATATATCGTCATCTGCCAACCTCCAGCTCATATTACCCCGCACTTCGGTTCGCAAAGCACCAATCATACACCAACTTCCTCTTCTTTCGAGCCTGCGCGACCGTTCGCCAACAAACCGCACAATACAACTTAGAACTTTTCAAACTTATTAGTTTTCACACTTATAAGTTATCGCCCACACTTAGAAGTTCTCGCACTCTTATTAACGACCAGGAACATTACCGAATAGTTCGGTACTTACAACACCAATATTGTTTTAAATTGGAGGTAAATATGGTTGACATTACACCTCCCCAATGAACAAGACGCTAGTGTCGAGTTCATTCATTCAAACATTTATTCAACTGCTTTTTCCGCAAAATCGGATCCTTCGCAGCCTGGAAGAACATATACAACTTGTTCCACCTGTTCTTTTTTAAGTACTGCTTCATAGCACAATATAAAGTATCTTCTACCACGCCCTTACCTTCACCTCACTTTGCCGCATCGACTATCGTATCAACATATATACCAAAGGCTGAATTTATGGCATACAACCAAGTCCTCCCCATCTTTATTGATCGCATTACTGCCACCATTTCATCAACTTCTGTAACACCAGCTGCCCCTTCACCAGTATAATTGTAGAACCAGATCAAACAAGTGCTTCGGATCCTCTAACCTCACCTTAAGCTGGTCCACATGTATTGACTTAACCTTCCCATTAATTCTGACCTTGTATATCCCTTGTAAGTGATCCCTCGTACCAATCGTGCGTCTCACTAAATAGGTTTCCGCCAACTTACTATCCTTCAGCCTATCAGTATACCAAACCAGCTGCCCCGGCTGCCAATCTGGTGCCTCTTTTCTATTCTTGTCTGCCACCTTTGCCTGCGCCTCCTTCGCTACTTCATCTCTAATGGCCACCAATCTATCCCGCACAGCAGCTTCACTCGGGAGCTCAGAACCTATCCCCTCTAACAACTTCGCCTCAATTACACTCTATCATCCTGCTCCGTATATTACCGGCCCGTAACATGATAGTATGAGCTGATACCCGTGGCCGAATTCACTGTCGCATTGTACGCCAACATAACTGAAAATATATATACTGGCCATAAGGTTTCCTCCCCAACCGGCAAGCTCTTAGCAAACCAATCCACAATCGTACGCAAGACCCCCTCTGCCCTACCATTGCCCTGATGCCTTTTTACTGATACGTAATGGCGTTCTGCACCTCTTTCTGCCCAGAATTTTTTTTTTCATATCTGCTGAAGAGAACGGATCACCCTCATTCATCACTAATTTCTTATGTGTACCCCAAGGCAACACTTGTTGTTTAACAAAGTCTAATACCCCTTTAGTATTCTTCTCTTCCAACGTGTATGGCCGACATCACACTGTAAGATTCGGTCTATCAAGGCGATATTAACACCTTATAGTAATTAAACGCGTAGGTAAAATCTAAGTATCGTGATAATTTCAAAGTAAATAAACAAAATGAGTCTTTTAGTAAAGTTAGGTATGCCGTGAAAACAGCAATACTCTGAGGGATTGTGAGGCTGAGACATTGCCTATATATAATCCTCTCAGTACTGTTTTGATTTTATTTAGTGTTTGGATTTTATTTAGTGTTTCGTTGTCGCTTTATTAGAAACTATGGTATGTTTCGGTGTGGCGAATCCGAGAGACTCATAAATCCTATCTTTAGAAGAAGAAAAATAGTAAAAAGGAAAAGAAAATACTCTTGATGTCTTTTGTTATTATCTTAACCAATAACTTTCCACTTATCAAGAATTACCGACTTAGCTTTCATCAGACTGGCACATCTGGTTGGCTGATCGGAGGATAAACTAGATAACGTCAATAGTCCCTAGAAACCTATATTCGGTTGAGCCATCTCGCCACCGAAGTATTCAGATATAAAAAAATTTGGAAAGTAAATATAGTTCTATTAATAGAACTAGACCAACTCTTATGTTTGGTTTTTTTACTGGGGCCTTTTAATGGTCTTGTCCAAATATCTGATATGTTAAATGGAAAAGATATTAATTAATAAAACAGTAAAACCCATTCAGGAAACTCAAGTTCCTCGTACTATTAAAAGTACGTTTATAGTTTGCGTACTGCTTAAGAGTACGTTTATAACATAGAGTCTATTACGGAGTAAAGATCCATGGCTCAATAAATTAATAGGCATGATACAATGCGAGCCAATATATTTAAATAGGGATAATAATATTTATTTTAAAAATGGCAAGTATGTATGATACAACGTATGAACATATGGTATGGCTCTCATAGTCGCTATAGTGGTTCAGGAAAAACTGATGGGAAGAAGTGGTCAGTAAATTCCCGTTTGAAGCTTGGGCCAAGTGAGTCGACAATGAAAGATATGTGCTGAGTCAATTCGGGCCGGTGTTGACAAAACCTTGTGAGATCGCGGCAATGGCCAGGCGCGAATACTACTACCAACTGGTTATGGGTAAACCACCAACCTCAAACCGAGACACAGCCAGACACGACAGCTTCAATCGCTGCTTTGAGTCTACACCAATCCGGCTCTGTGCTATGATTGTAACGAATACGTACATGTTCACATTGCTCGACTACCGCACCGACGGCCGTCTCTGCCCTGTCTGCCCCGGTAGCCAGAAGTTCACTACCAGCCACTTTACCTGCATCCAACAACTGATTCGACGCATCCTGGTAGGCCCGAAACTGCCGCCCATTGGCCCTGACCTCCTTCAGCAATTACAGGAGTGCCACGACTTCCACGGTATCTGGACCCTCCACGAACACCTTGGATCTTTTCTCCAGTATGTTGAAGAACCACCGTACCCTCACCCGTCCCGGACACATCATCATATGTTCCCCATGCGGTGCGTATACAAGCTAGAGACAACAATTGAATACCGTTGTTTGAGGATCCCAGCTGTGCCTTATCGAGCTTTTGGGTATTTATTTATTTTGCCAATTTCGAGCGGCTTCAGCGTTTAGCATTGGGTATATCATCATCGAGCACAAAAGTAGGGGTGCATCCAAGTACTGTTGTGCAGTTTGAATACGCTAGTTTAAAGCAAGCTACTATCTTGTTCTCGAAGGCATCATTTGAACCGTTGTTATGGGGTACATGTGTTCCACGAGCTAAGTATTGTGAAAGTTGTTATTCCTGATGCGTCAATATAATAAAATTTGTTCTCTGTGAGCGGTTGAAGTGTGGAGATGTGCATCTTTTCTTTCTTCAGCTGTGTGATGGTGATACCATTGATCTCAATGTACGTGAGAATCTTCTCCACCCCCATGATGGCTTGTGTAGGCCTAGTACTACGCTTTGCAACTGTGAACAGAACGCAGTTTGTAGTGATTTACAAATGATATTAGCAAACAAAACGTGCGTTTTGAGAAAAAAAAATCTTGAAATTAGATTTTTATAGGTCTATTGACAAATGGCACATGATACTGTGATTGCTGTCAGCTGCCTCAGAAGTGCGCGTGCCAAACAACAAAAAAATACTGAAGTATATATGTATCTAAATAACGTTTACTGAACGTTTTTAAAAATCGCGAGAGCCCTCTACTAAATACTCGAGACTCTCTCTCTAGGAGAGAGAGTAGTAATGCCGTAGTAGAGAGAGAGAGGGAGAGAGAGCTTCTGTAGTGTAAAATAAATAAATAGTCTCACTCACTGTAGACTGTAGTTGTGTATTATTAACACTGTATAGAGTGTACAAAAAAAATATTAAAATAAATAAATAGACCCTACATATTTTCATATATTTAATTCATAGCCTTCTAAAAAAACACTCCACATATTTTTAAATAAAAACAAAAACATACATAAATAGTTCTCACTTCTTCGATAACTTTATATTTTTGGTGTTTTTTTAAAAACAAATGGTTATAAAAATTATCGAATTTTAGGAGGCAATTATTTAAAATAAATAAATATGAAGTATGAGTATGTTGACTTGTATGTACGGAGGTATTTATAAAAAAAATGTACGAATGGCTACATCAAGGAAATGCATATTTATGCAAAATATCCGCTTGGCGGCGTTGGCGCCTGATGGCTGACGCCTGACAGCCTGACACTTGACAGCCTCAGGAGTCAGGGCACTGGGCATCAGGCTGAAACGGTGATGCCCTCGTTCAGTAAAAATTTAAGGGCGGGCGATGATTTTTCTCACTCATATTGTTTAACATCTGATTGGATGAATGTCTTCAATCAAAAGCCATGAATCTGCGGTTCTCTAAAACAATGATGAGGATAAAAAGGTCATTAGGTCAATGCTATTGGGGCCTTGGGCTCACCAGTCATCACTCTATCATACATGTTTATAAAAGCATTCTGCGCTTCTCATTCCTCTTGTTGAAGAATAAAATAAAAAAGAATCAAAAGAATCAGTGTATCCTGTATGTAGGTCTGTCGGAATTCGTAATATTTATATACGGCGAGTGTGTATTTTCGATGACTATGCGAGTTGCACACGTCGTGACAGGCTCAATCAAAAAACATATATGTACGCATATATATATATATATATATTAATAAATATAAATACATTGCAAAACAGCAACATTAATTGTCATCCGTTTAATATACACATTTGAAAACCATGGATGATCTTTTCTTCGACCCAAAGGCAGCCAGCGCGCCCACCCCACCCAGTGTAGATGGCTGTCTTACATTAATCGATGGAACTATCGAGAAGTGGTCTGGCGAGTATCTTACAGTGAACTCACCTGTGCGAATGTCTAAAAAGGCACAGGAAGCCGCAGGTAATGATGACGATAAGATTTGTATAGGAAAGTATGCGATGTGTGATGAAGCAACAGCCTTAAAGGGTGTGGGTGCGGCATACAAAGCGTATGATCACGGGCGTGGCGAGTGGCCTCAGATGAAGCCCGCTCAGCGTATCGAGTGTGCGATGAAGTTTGTGGAAGGCATGCGCTCTAAGAGAGAGGAGTTGATCTCTATCCTTATGTGGGAGATCTGCAAGAACTCGACAGATGCAGCCAAGGAAGTCGATCGAACGATTGACTATATCGTGGACACTGTGGCCGAGCTTAAGAAGATGGAGAACGATACAAATCCGTTGATGAATGTTGGCGGTGTGGTGGCGCAAGTCAAACGTGCACCCCTGGGGATAGGACTGATCTGTGGGCCCTACAATGTATGTAGTCTATAATACATGTCGATGGTATATTGTGTTACAGATTTGTCGTATGGTCTAATACTGTCTGTGGGCCCTACAATGTATGTAGTCTATAATACATGTCGATGGTATAATGTGTTACAGATTTGTCGTATGGTCTAATACTGTGTCTTTGGTTGTGTAGGATTGATGTTCTTGCTGGTCATGAACGAGTACTGCGCCTGTGAGGTGCTCATAAAGGTGATATATTGGGGTCTCACTATCTTAGCTACCATGATGTTCGCTAGCTTCAAAGTTGTGTATACTTATTCATGACAGTCGAGCTTAATTACACTTTTAAATTTTAGCTTCACTAATAAATGGTGCGTCATGTCTTGCCGACGGAGGTCTGTTTGTATTTAATGTTGTGCAAATGTATATGTTGTTTATGTGGCTGATGTTACTCTTTATTAAACCTGGTTGATGCATCTTTATGTTTTCAAGTATGTATTAATCTTCGTGTTTGGTCATAGGTTAGGTTTTTAAATACAAATATATAATTCTGGCGCGCTTTTCGAATGCGAGTTGTGCTGTACTATGCTACGAAATCATAATTTTTCTCTCGATTGTCTCCACCATGTCTGCCATGTTGGGTTATATCCCAGCAAAGTTTTCGAAGGTCACACTTCAAGCGCTTTTGTGTGTACGCATTCTGCTTGCATCTACTGCATTACTAGGGGTGAGTAAGGGTGTATAAGTATAGAATGAGTCTTATATAGCTCTCCATTCGAAGTCGCCTTGTGTCTAAAGTAGTTTGTGTATAGTGATAATTTTACCATTGTGATCCTTACTCTGTGCTATTCGGATTGCGATTGGCAGCGGAACGAATTTTTGAGATGTATATGGTATCGCGAGCCTCTTCAGAATGAAGTAGTAAATGAGACTCGAAACCCTTTGAAGCAGTGTCTTCCCACTCCACTAATATCGTCATACTTTGTTTACATCCTCCCGCCCAGTACCCGTTGAATGAGTTCATGACGCTGTTCCTGCCATGCATTATCATGGGTAACACGTGTGTGCTGAAGACCCCCAGGACCGGCGGACTTTGTCACATCCCCCTGTTGGAATTCTATCAGAGCTGCTTCCCAAAGGGTGTGGTCAATGTGGTACACGGTAGTGGACGTACTGTGTTTACGCCCATTATGAAGAGTGGGAAGGTGCAGATCCTGGCATTCATCGGCACACACAAGGCCGCACAGTCGCTTCACGCGTGCGCACCTGTGCCTTTCACTGTACGCTTGGCGTTGGGCTTGGATGCGAAGAACCCTGGAATCGTCACCGCCCAGGCTGATCTAAATGTTGCAGCAACAGAGTGCACGCTGGGTGCTCTCTCTTATTGCGGACAAAGGTGTGTAAATTTGTTTATATCTGAATTTATTGTGTTCGTATCAGCCAAATATAAACAGACAAGGGTGAGTTAAAGAAGCTACAGACCCCTTTCTGACCCGTTATAGCTGGATTTGTATGAGCATGTAGTACTTGTTTATACATATTCGTCGTGACTACTACAGACAATTGTAGTCCAATTATCTTATAAGGTATCAATGGATGTAGGGTGGCCTCTGCTTTATATCCTTGTGACTTTTGGCGTTTATGGGTTTGAGGTCGGAATGTGTATGAAAGTAGCTCAGAAGATTAAAGCGATATTACGTATGTATCCTTAAATTTCATAAATTTTTTTTATAGCGTATATTCAGTGCACCCAGAGCCACGTATCACAGTTCTTTGAACAATACAGTGGTCTACATTAAGTGCAGTGATAGGTGGTCGTGCGGGAGAATATGCAAAGGTGCTCGGTGGCCTGCAGTATTGTCCAGGAATCACCGTGGCCTATAACCGTTTTTTTACTTATAGATAAAACGGGAAAAGATTGTGTATCAGACATATATATTACTGTTGCACTCATTTGCTGCTTTAAAAACCTTTCCTATTTCTTATGTAACAATAAAAGGTGCACCGCCATCAAGATAATATATGTGCATAAGAGCGTGGCCGACGAATTCGTGAAGAAGCTCGTGGCGAAAGTCGATGCACTGAAAGCAGGCTTACCATGGGAGAAAGGTGTCAACATCACGCCGCTACCTGAGGAGGGTAAACCGAAATACCTAGAAGAGGTCATTGCCGATGCCGAGTCTAAGGGTGCCAAGGCGATTAATAGGCATGCGAAACAAAGTGACAGGACTCTTGTGCAGCCCACTGTGCTGTACCCGTGCAACTCGGACATGCGATGTGCAAAGGAAGAACAGTTCGGTCCTTTAGTGCCTATTGTGCCGTATGAGTCGAACGAGGAATTGGAGCAGTATATGATCGAAACACACTACGGGCAACAAGCCGCTGTGTTCTCGACCGATTCTAACACCCTGCCGAGGCTCGTAGACTTCCTGGCACACCATGTAACACGCATCAATCTGAACGCACAATGCCAACGTGGACCTGATGTTATGCCGTTTAGTGGACGTAAAGTGAGTGCAAGCGGAACTCTCTCCTTGCACGATGCCTTGAGGACCATGTCTATCCGTGTAGCAGTGGCCACTAAGGCCACAAAGGAGAACATCGATATTGTTTCGGCGATACTGAGAGATGGGCAATCCAATGTGCTAACAGCTGAGCTGCATATCTAATTCGGATCTATACGTATATGTCGTACATTTACTATGAAAGATACAAACAATAAATCTGATAAAATTGAAATGCCAACTTTTAAAGTAGTTTGAATAAAGAGCTAAAATGTTCATCTGCATCTATACGTGTATGTCGTACATTTTATATGTAAGATACATGGAACATATCTACTGAAATGATATGCTAAACTTGTATATTAGTTCGGATGAATCTACTTGTAGACAAGATAAGTTGGGAATGAGTTTGGATCTGGAAGCATGGTAGCGTATCACCCTAGATTCACTTCCTTATGAGCCTAAGTTTCTATATGTACGTTTCTATGTGTACGAGGCCGAGCTACACATTTTCCCCTCGAATTTACCGTATGAGACGTTTTATTTTTACCAGTGAGATCGTGGTCTTCACAAGTATCCGTCTAGATGGACATACTCCGGGCTATTATGTCTGTAGCGCCTGAGTTTTAACGTGGTAGTCGCAAATATTGCACTCGTACTACACTATAGGCGAGATAAACGGATTCATGATACTCAGGAGAGCTAAGTTCTTTTTCCGCCTACGTTATAGTCTATACTACTGCGACTGTACGCGTGAAAGGTAATTTGGCGATGAATATCTACGGCTATATTATATGGGTGCGAGGGATCCGCTATACCCTTAACTTGTCAACAAATATATCCAACAGTTTTAAATTTGTCCCTTATTTCGCCGCCAAATTCTGGTGTGGCTTTCTTATGATCGTTCAAAGTTTGTAAAGTTCTCGTTGAAGCGCAGAAACAATCACTTCCCGCAAGTCCTATAATATTGATGTGGACGAAGTCATTGTCTTCTCTTCATGTCGAAGCCTTCAGAAGCAACACCATATACACAAAGGAAATAAGAAAATGTTCGAGATTGAATATTAGACTTATGCCCGGCAAGGCTATTAGGTGCTACTAGCAAGGCCATGGCCCAAATTATTACAATATGGACACAAATCCAACACGTGATATGTGTACACATACAACTATATATAAACTTGAATATATTTATAAATCAGAACATAGATACAAATATAGACATTCATTCATACAAACGTAAAAATACTTTAAATTTCAATATGCATACATACACACACGAACATAAACAATTGATATATAT